AATATCACATCGCTACGCGTCGCTGATTGTATATTTATTCAGATTATTGCTTGTTGTTTGTGTATCTGAAAATTGTATTAGTTTGGTTTACTGAAAAGGTAACGAGCGTTGTAGCAACTATCCTTGGCCTATGTTATTAAAAAGTGTTATACATATTTAGAGTTGGTTGTGATGTCATGTGTAATCTGCGAGTCATTTGTTTTTAAATAATGAGCACAGTAAGTTGTTTTATCGCCCAGAATGGATTCCGATAGGAATTATTCAATTATTCTTTAGATTTATATTGTGTTTCCTAAGGAAAACGGAGAAATGACGTTTTTATTAAAAAATTCGTCTGAAAGTAGAAAAACACAGAATATTTCTACTATTTTAAAAATTAAATCTATAACAAAAACCTATAACATGTTTTTAAAATTAACTTTGTAACTCTTTTTTGCAATTCTACGTAAGTAAATTATATTTGAATTTTTAGGTAAACAATGGTTCCATGATAGAAAACTCATCGGACCAACGTTCCATTTTAGTATATTAGACCAATTTGCTGTGATACTATCTGAAAAAGTAGAGATCCTGACAAAGTGTTTCGAAAAAACAATAAAAGACAATCCAGGGAAAGCCGTTGATGTTTTTCCTTTTATAGTCAATACTACTCTTGATATTATCTGCGGTAATGTAGCATATTTTTAATTACAATATATAATTATAATATTTTTTGTGAAGAAATGTTTGTTGCACAGTATGTTTTATGCTGTAAATTATGCAAAGTCTTGTCCGGATGGATATATGTAGTAACATTCTGTTGCACTAACAGGAAATTTAAAGCTTGATAAGAAAAAGATTGACTATCAGACGGCATCAAATGTGCATGCGCGGGCACGTCTTCATTGTTTTCCTATTGTACGTTTCCTCGTATGACAATTTTACTAACCTTTTTTCTCTTCATATAATGAAAAAATCAGAACGTAATTCAAAAAAGAAGAAAAGCTCTTCATCGAAGGACCATCTTGCAGCTCTCCAAGAGATCTTACGTCTTATAGATGTTCTCTCATAGAGAGATATAGAGAGGCTGGTCGGTCTCGCTTCTTCTTTTTACCCTTATCGGTGTCTCCTTTTCGCTCTGAATGTGATGATCGAATGTCTCTATCGAGTTGAGAGTTGCTTGATCGCGAAACCGATTTCTCTTCTGGAAACTTCAGACTTCGATGAAGATTTTTTGGCAGCGCCGAATCAGGAGGGGCCAAGAGAGATCCGCATATTATAGGCGTGTATGTATTTACTGGATCTGTATTTGTAGAATGCAGATGGACAATCGTCACACCTTTCTATTTTTAGTTAGAGGATTCTCTCCTCCTTTTTGCTTGTTAATGAACGAGTTAATCTTTTCTCTTCCAGTTTCTCCTGCTACTCTATCTGATTTACCTACTTCTGTGGGATTAAACAAGGATAATGCGAATGCTCTGATAACAAAACTGTTTGGTTCTAAGCTTGTTGATATCAACATTCAGCCTTGGAATCTGATCAGGAAGTCCTAATGAAGAAATATTCTTCTTCCAAGACTCTTTCTGAGAGCTCTTAGATTGAATCCGGAGTGCAGATCAGCTTTAAGAAATAATTCTATCAAGAGAAATGATTTTAACTGTAAGGATCACGACAGATTGTTTTGTGTACCCTAGGAAAAGCTATTTTCTGAAGTCAGATCTATAACATTCACTAGGCCTTGATGCCCGATTAGTCATTTCTAAGATCAACGATGGAGACTAAGATATATTAACTAATCTTTTTTACCGCCTATCTCTTTCTAGAAGAGCTCAGATTAAGAAATCAGCTCTTAATCTAAAAGCTCTTGCCAAAAATATGGCTAATACTCTCCCTGTTTTTTGGTACTTTCTTCGGTGAAATTAAAATTCTGAAAATAGCCAATGGTGACATTGTCATTCCATTGGCTACTCCTACAACATTCTTCTTTCAACAATTAAGACAGTGTTACATATATTAAAGAGAAGAGTGTTAATAATTAATAGGTAATCAAGAATTTAAAACGATAAAATTATATTTGAAGAAATTATATTCGAAGAAAATAATTATTGTGATATGGAATCCTTGAGACTTTGTAAGACTTTGTATGGAAAACACGAAATTTCCAGATTCACGTATTTCCTGATTTCAATTTTCGCAAGTCTGTTATAAAAACTACTCGATGTAAATTTATAACAATTATTGAATGGTTTCTGGTAGGTAAGAATTATCACAAAATGATATGAATTATGACAAAATGTTTTAGAACAGGACTCGGCAAAATTGCACTTCTCGGCCGATTTTCGCCGGTTCCGCTATTCCCCTCACCTCTCGCCCCGCGTTCAGTTGAAATGCCACTCGACGTTTAGAAACGTATAACGCATAGATATGAGATCCACCTGCTTTGGGTACTCACGCTATAAACTTCATTGTATTTTTTTTTCGTTCATTACATAACTAAGATAGAATGAAGCAACGCATAAGATTGAGTGCTCGACAATTATGCAGTCTCGTTTGGATAGACAATCCCACCCACCCGCTCAAAATAAGCAGATCTGGGCTTTAAATTTATGAAGATTCGTACCCGTATACGCGCAGTTGGTGCCGCTTGATATTCAGCCTTTTTCCTTTCAAGCTTTAAATTTCCTGTTGGGAATAGTGCAGCGGAATGCTACCACATGTTCATTCGGATGAGACATAATTGGAATCGAATTTCACGGTAAGATTGTTCAATTAATCAATTTTATCACTCATTCTATGGATAGTAACAAAGAAAGAAATATATTAATTTAAATTCTAGTATTATAAATGACTAAGGATTATCAACAAAATTAGTTTTTTATTATCTTACAGAAACGGCAATGGGTGTGGATATACAAGCTCAAGAAGTCGTAAATAAATATGTATCAACAGTACATCAGTCAGTTTTTATAAAATTCTTATAATATTATTAATAAAATTCTTATAATATTATTAATAATAAATAATAAATAATAAATAGTTAATGATTTATTACTTAGAGTCAAGAATTAACAATAAAATTTAATAATTAATTACATATGCAATTTCTATAAGTTGATTTTCAATTATATTTTCAGAGCTTCCCTATTAATAATAGATCGAATGATTCAACCATGGTATTGGATTGACTGGTTGTACTATTTATTACCTGTAGGGAAACAGTTTAAATCAACGCTTGATATATTACATGGATTTACAAAAAAGGTATATTATAGGAACTTTAATAACACATGTATTTATATAGACTTAACATTTAAGTATAATGTTTAAGTTTCACTACTTTTTTTACTTCATTAAAAGAAATTTCATGTACAATTAATATGATAAATTATAGGTAATAAGTAAGAAAAAGGTTGAGCGACAGTCGCAAAATACGAAACTCGAAAATGAAGATAATGAATTTAACATAGGTGAGATAAATTTTAATTATATTTCATTCATTATACATATCTTTCTATTTTGTAAATATTTCTTAGTTAATAAAACTTATCACTATTGTATCAGATAAGCGAAAAAGAAAAGCGTTTTTAGATTTATTATTGGACCAAAATGAGAAAGACGACACTCCTTTGACTGATGATGAATTGAGAGCACAAGTCGATACGTTCATGTTTGAGGTGAGACATTTGAAGTTAAAATTTTCTAATTTTTATAAAATATAAAATTTTCTCTTATTAATTTCTCGGCAATATCTGTGTAAATAGAAAGTATATATAAAATAATATGAAATTATAATAGGGACACGATACAACTGCTGTTGCCATAACCTGGGCATTGTTCCTCTTGGGCAATAATCTCGAGCATCAGGAAAAAGTTCACGAAGAACTCGAGAAAATTTTCGGAGATTCAGAGATACAAGCCAGTGTAAAAGAACTGTCGCAATTAAAATACCTTGAAAGAGTTATAAAGGAGACACTTCGAATATTCCCAAGCGTACCTTTAATCATGAGGAAACTAGTAGAAGATGTAAAACTAGGTAATTTAGTCTATTAATTAAGAAAAATATTTTAAAGAATTTACAATATAGAGTGATTCAGAATAAACGTTTGTTCTTAAAGTATCATATTCCTGACTTAATTTTAAGACAATTTTTGCTTTACGAAAATTTTGTCTGAAACTTAGTTTTCAAATTACGAATTAATTAAAGAAGAAATAGTTAGCTTATTACGGACGTGTAGAAGAGACGGGCAAGAGCGGCGCTTGCGGTTAGACGCGAACGCTTTAGATGCGAGATGCATACTGATTGGACGCATACACATGTTTATAAAAACACGTTTTTTCTTATTTCTCTACACTATCTCTTTGTCTTTCACATACTTTAAATATGCTAATTAATTCGTATTGTCTAATTTCACTCTTTTATTACATTTCTCTAATAATTTTTATCAATGTAATTAAAAAACAATCCGATACTCAAAGGGTTCAATATTCATTTTAATTTCATCATTCTAATTTATAATTTATAATTTAACAAAATTAGCATATTTAAAGTATGTGAAAGACAAAGGCCCGTATTCAGAATGCGCTTTTATTGATAAAAGAGTGTTTTTATCTCTAAAATTCTATAGTATATGTAACGTAAATTGTAGCACGTTAGCGCGCTAAGCGCTCGTTGTAAGTGCGTTCTGAATACGGGCTAAAGAGTGTAGTAAAGGGGAAATAAGAAAAAACTTGTTTTTATATAAACGTGTGAATGTGTCGCGTATTGCGCACAACGAACATCGCGCTGATGTGCCAGAGGCATTAGAATTAAGTCAGGAATATTATGCATGGTCTACAATGTGCAATAACAGTAATTGATTAAGGAGTAGGCATAGAAATCGACCAATCATAATTGATTGTTTTTCTTACATTCAACTATGATTAGTAGATTTCTACATGTATTCCTTTATCCTGCTACTGCTACTGTCTATTGTAGACTATGCATTACACTTTACACAAACATTTATTTTCTGAATCACTCCATATATAATTTATAAAGAAGTTAAATGTTATAAGAAAAATTAAAATATTTAAAAAATAATATTCATACATACAATTTACTAAAAATTAAACAAGTATATTTAAAGTATATTTAAAGATTGATAATAACATTATAATAATCTGACAGAAATTTAAGTTTCAAATATTAAAAAAACGTTTATGTGGACAAAGATAATGTTTTATATAGACAAGTACACAGTTCATTTTATCAATTTATTTCTTCTATTTTAGATAGTTATACACTTCCAAAAGGTACTTTAGTTGTATTGGCCATCATGTTAACACATCGAAGCTCGGAGATTTGGCCGGACCCATTAAAATTCGATCCGGATCGCTTCCTTCCAGAAAACTCGCAGAATAGAAATCCGTATGCTTATATTCCATTCAGCGCCGGACCAAGAAATTGTATAGGTCAAAGATTCGCTCTACTTGAAGAGAAAATCGTATTGACTGCAATTCTCAGAAAATGGAGAGTGAAAAGTGTAAAAACAATCGACACGATTGAGTACGGCAGTTCTCTCATTATGCGCCCAGTTGAAGAAGTATTCATACATTTTACGCCAAAGAAATAAACAGTTTCAGCAAATAAAATCAATGTCGTTTTTCCATTATAACAAGGTCTTTCTATCTTTTGATTATTAGTTGAGTTTTGATTTCCTTTTTGATTATTAATGATTTAAAGTTTTCAATTTTACCATTATTTTAAAGAAGTATTTTGCGGTTTTAAGATATTTTTTGACACTGATTGGTTTATAAGTCAAGAGTCTAGTTTTTGACAAAATATTTTTGTGATCAATTTGCTTGCAATATGGTTGATTACAATTATGTTGAACTTTTTTCCTTTCATATAATTTCTTTAATCCTTATCTTTTTATATAAGTTGCTTTTCCATAATTTAATTCGATTAGATTTTATCATAATTTTTAAATATTTTCATCGGTGTTTTATTTTCGATATTGAATAACCTTAATTAAGATGGAGAGAGAGATCGCTATAACAGATTAATTATCACTTATATTTAATATAAATTTTGTATCTTTGAAGAGGGCTAAAAAATGAACCAAAACATGTAAGCGTGTTGATTTTAATAAACATTATTTGATTACATTTGGATATTATTTTGCATCGATTACCGCGCCTGATTATCGCTCCTATTTGCCCTTTTTTCACTTAACTTTCTTTTGAGTAAGGAGTCTTCGTGAATTAATTTGCGTTCAGCAACCATGGGAAATCGGGATACCGCAAATTACAGAGTACCATTGAGATACAGAAATCATTGTTTTTAGAGTGTCCAAAATATTTAGATTGATAAAACTGATCATACAATTGTTGTTTTGTTGCTTATGTGAGATTACAAGTGAATGATGAGAGGATAAGAAAGATCGAAAACGAAAATATCTTCCGCTTGACGCACGTCTGTCTTCTTCCGCGTCTGTTAATCATCTGTTTTATCAATTGTCGATCGATTTGCGGATCTTCTCTAAATGTGCCACTCTCGTTCCCACACTTATTTTGTATCTACCCAGCAAAGTTGTCATTTTAATGTTAAATTCAAGTCATGTTTGTACAAATGATGTCAAGTAACCAAAAAGTTATCATAGGTTTTATTTGATGACATTCCATAACGTCAGTATGACTGGCATCATATTGACGTCATTAGTCGCTAATTGGATGGTATAATAGTCAGTAAAAGACCATGGTGTAAGTAGACATGTATGTGCTCGTAACTAAGACAAATTTATGCATAGCAACGCGCTGACCTCATTTTCCATTGTTTTACAATACCTTATATATTAGCACCATTGTTATATGATTTGAAATGATTAAAAAATATATTAAATATTATAAGTGAAAAGTAATAAATAATAGTAAAAAAGTAATAAATAAGTAATTATTTATTAAAATCCACCGAGAAATGCAAAAAGAGGTCAAGTTCTGATTCGCTGCAGTAGAAATATGCGCAAGAATATACCATGTCTACTTGCATCATGTAAAGGACAAAGATATAATATCCATAATAAAGGGTATGCCTATAAAGAATGTAATCACATGAGAATCGAACGATCAATCAAAATTATTATCAAGATATGTTTTATGATAAATTCAAATGTATTATTTATCAGTATACTTATAACGTTTCTTGTAATACACTTTACAATTATAAAAGATATTAAACACAAAATAAACATTAAAAAACAATATTATAAATATAAAAATATTATAATATA